TCACGCTATTGTCATAATCTAGTTCAATCCACCCAATTATAAAAATTGATAGGCCTCTCAAACGAAATAATTGGTAGAGCATGGAAAACAAAGCATTTTAATCACAAACATATCAATTCCAAACCCTAAAACATGCTCAAGATCCAACTACACCACAACCATCCCTTTAGTAGAGGAACTACTCACTAATTATGCTAATAACTAGATTAATCAACAAATTAACAAGCATCAACATGATTAACAATCAATACCAAAAGAAATAATCAAAAACAATAAACAAAAATAGAGAAGAGAAGGTAAGAAATGCTTATTGATTTAACAAGGAGATCTCCAAAACAATTGTCACAAGTTGAATGTTAAGCTCCAAATCCTACCATTGAAGATCTCTCACTTTCTCTCTCTAAAAATCCTAACTATGGAGGCTAATCCTCCCTAAACCCTAAACTAGATAGAGAGCTAAAATTAATTAAGGGAGTTAGCTAAACTTTTTATTCTAATTACCCAAAATGGGTATTTATAATAAGTTAGGAAATTAGAAAATAAAAGAAGGAAAAATAAATAAAAACAGAAAAATAAAGAAACAAAAAGAAATAAATCTAACTAAAGAAAAACAGAAAAACAAAATAATAAAGAAAAAAGATAAAAAGAAATTAAAACAAAACAAAACCAACAATCCCAAACCAAGTCAGACCCCATATTTTTCCTCTTTGATATTTTGGCTGCTCTTGAATCTTCATCACCGCCGCACATCAACATCATCAATGGCTATCATCGAGCATCATCTTCGATCTTCAATCTCAACCGTTTGATCTCCATTAATAATCACGTGCTAAGCTCGTGAAACGGTTCGGTCGAACCGCGGGTAGGTTCGGCCGAACTATGGGTTGGTTCGGTTGAACCATTGGTGTGTACGGTCGAACCTCTAACAATAAGAAACCTTCTGAAGTTTCTGACTTTTTTGGCAGTTCGCCCGAACTTCATGAATTTGCAATTTGTTCTGTTCTTGCGGTGAGGCAGGGGATGCTGTTGGCGGTTGAGGTTTGGTGTGTGCGGCGGCTGCTTGCTGCTCTAATTGGCGTGGCCTGAGGGCTGTAGCAGTAGCTCGGGTGTTGCCGTTGGTGCGGTTGCTGAAGGAAGCAGCGCTGGCCGCTACTATTTGCGATGAAGGTGTTGATGGCGGTGGTTGGTAATTGCTGGTGGTTTTGGTGACTTGCGGTTAAGGCTGGGAGTATTGATAGAAGGTGGGGCTGGTGATGGTTGGTGGATGTTGAGCAGAGTAGCGTGGATGTGAACTGGTGAATAAGGGCTGCGCTGTTGCTTTGTTGTGGGCTGGCAGCTTGGTGTATTGGAGGTGAGTGGTGTTTTGAGTAGATGGTGTGGTGGAGGATAAGTAAAAGTGGGGTGAAGGATAGTTGGCAGCAAGAGGTCTGGTGATTATTTGGTAGCCCGAACTTCAATAACCGTAGTTTCGATCTCCCATCACATACCTACACACAACATCAAACACGAGTAAAGAATCGGGACAAGTAAAATAAAACAAATTCAAAGCAAATAAAATACGAAAATAATCTAAAAACTAATTAAATAAACAAAAATATATCAAAATTACAAAATAAAAGGGAAAATAAGAGAAAACAATACGAAAATGACTCTTAAAACTACTCCCTAAAAGTGACATAAATGCACTCATCAGCTACATTTACTTGAGTACTTTCTAGCTAAGAGTTCTCATGATATAATTCTTTCTTAGGCTAATTATGCGAGAGTGAACTAATTCGGACCATTAGTTTATCTAATATTAGGCTCAATTAGTTGTACGAATATGAGCTAATTGATTGGGGTTGTTAACATGTCTTAACGTTGTTACGAAATGTTAATAAGGGCATTGCGACCCTTTTATAGATGTGTATAGAATTTAAAAAGCGCCACAATTCTCGTTTAAAACCACAATATTGTGACGCTTTTAGTGTCAATTTTTATTATGGTTCGCCATTGTCAAAAATTTTGTGAGGCTTTAAGCGTCAATTCCAAAATTTTTGACGCGCTTGTGTGTCAAAATGATGATAAGTAATTCCCTCCAACATTTATACCCAAAAACACTTTTGTGCGTGATTGCCAAAAAACATCGTGGCACTTTTGTTTGCGAAAATGATGATACGTAATTCCCTTTAATAATACTGCCAATAAGTTTCGCTTTAAAGCATAATTATTTCCCCACCTTTTTATTGCGAAGAAAATTAATAATAAGTTATTTGACATATATAAGAGAGTATATAAAATAGTAAACACGCAAAAATATATTATTTAATACTATATTTATTGTAAATTAAATGCGCAGGCATTTAACAAAACCTAAACTATATACAATATAGATCAAACAAGTACATTATCCAAATCAACAAAACAAGTCTATTTAAATACCAACATTAGATAACTTCCTAAAAATTTGTTTAAATACTAATTACATACAACTCTATTAATAGTTAAATTACTAAATACAAAAGCATATTGCAAACGATGTGTCGTGCTTGATGCTAATGCCAAGTCGCGCTCTTAATTTACTTTTTTCCATTTCTATCTAAATCATCAATAACCTGCAGAGAAAATTAGGTATAAGAAGAATTATTGCATATAAAATAGTATATATCAAAACTAACGAAATTTTGAATTTTAACACCACAAATTTACACAAAAATGGTTTTTAACACTACGAAAAAAAAATTTATTTTTAACACCATAAAAAATTTTAAGAAATTGAATTATAACACCACTTAACTGATTTTGTCCTACAATCCATTATGCGGGAGCCACAATGACGCGTGTTGACATATTATTGGCTAAAAAAAGGAAACATAAAAAGAATTAAACAAAACACCTCCTTTTCCATTGTCACCCGGCAGAACCGCTGCCCCCACCCCATCCCCGACGCACCCCCTCCCCTAAATACCGCCACAGATCACCGAAATCTGCCCCACCCCTTTCACCCAACCCTAAACCCCCCACCACCACTTTAAAACGCCCCCTCCCCCCCCCCCCAACAAATGGCCACGAAGTCAACCACTAATGGCCAAAATCGGCCGATTTAGGCCACTCTACCCAAAAAATGGCCAACTTTGGCCATTGTGGCCGATTTCGTGGCCATTTTTTGGGGATGGAGAGGCACGTTAGGGAAAAGGGAGGGGTGGGTTCCGATAATGGGGGATGGGGTACGGCTAAAGCTGGGCATGGGTCGGGCCAGTCGACGAGCGGCACGAGCACGGCACGCTAGTGGCCCGGCATGGCACGAGCCCACTGGCGGCACGACACGAGGAACGAGGGGTGGGCCGTGGGACATGTCGTGAACAAAATTCTAAAAAATCAGCACTAACCCAGCACAAGCCCGTGGGCGGCACGATTTTGGCCCGCGGCACAGCTCGCAATGCATGGCCCGTCAAAAGCTATAATTATTCCCCAAAGAAAAGAAAATTGAAAAAAAAAAACAAAAAAAAAAACGGAAGGGGAAAGGGCATGTGGGTCTTCCTCTTTTCTTTCTCTCTCCTCCCTCCCTAAACTCCATTTTTCCATGCTTTCTTAACTCTTCTCTCTCTCTCCTCCCTTCTCTTTCCCAGCTTTCATGGTTGATGACAAGGTTGTACTCTTCTTTTCTCTCTCTCTCTCTCTCTCTCTCTCTCTCTCTCTCTTACTCTTCCTTCCTCACGATTCTACTAGATTCTCTCTATGTTATAGATCTAGGTATTCAACCTTCAATTTCTTCCTGTTTTATGCTTCATTTCAGATCGAATTTGAGTTTTACTTAGGGTTTTGCTGCCGAAAATTAAGGGCTAGCCCACATCCCGGCACGACACGACACGCCAGGCACGTGGGTCATGTCGTGGGCTAGGGTATGCCATAAGACGGCCCAGCACGCCACGCCATGCCACCACCCAGGCCAGCACGGCCCGACTCGCCCCACCCTCTGGCCCGACCAGGCATGGCACGGTTTCCACCTTTACATGCGGCATAAATTGGGGCGAGTAGCGGCTGTGCTAGGTGATGGTGGAGGAGGTGCCGGTGGTAGGCTGGGGTGGCTAGGGTTAGTTTATGGTTTTTAATTTTTCTTTTTTTTTTTCTTTTTTGCAACCACTGACATGACAACACATGTCACCACTTAACGGATTCTTGAACGGAATCAGTTAATTAGTGGTAAAATCCAATTTGATAAATTTAATTGTGGTGTTAAATTTTTTTTTTTTTTTTTTTCCGTAGTGTTAAAAACCAATTAATAAAAATGTATTCATCTGTTATCACTAACAAGTATAAACATGAAATGATAGCAAGTACTTGTATTCATACATGCATCATATACGTCCAACACAACAATTTGACAAAAATTAGTAAATATTTATTTTATTAAAAATCCTATATGGTGGCTAGCAATTTTTGCAGTGATCTAATTGCTAGAATTTTTTTTAGCCATAATCTTTAGGTAAAATTGTTAAAAATAATACAACATTTGAGCGGTTGGCCAAAAACAACTCAACCTTTTAATTATAATACAACCTTTATGGGGTATCCGCTTTAAACAAGATATTTTACCAACAACCTATATAACCAATTACTAGAGCTGTCAAAAGCTGACCCGACCCGAAATACCGACCCGAACCCGATTATTAATCGACCCGTTTAAACCCGGAAAAATGATGACCCGAACCTGATATGACCCGACCTGAAACCAACCCAAGACCCTAGTTAACCCGAGATTTGAGACCCGAACCTAACATAAACCGACCTGGAGATGACCCGACCCGAATATAACCCGTAAAATATTGACTTGAACCGAACCCGACCTGAACCGAAATTGACCCTAACCCGTTTTAACCCGTCAAAACCCAAATTTAACCAGACCTGAATTCAACCCGACCCGAATTTAACCTGACCTATTACTAACCCGACCCGAACTTCAACCCGATCTGTCACTAACTCGACCCGAAATCAACCCGACTTGTTATTGACCCGACCCAAATTCAACCCGATTTGTTATTAACCTAACCTGAAATCAACTCGACTTGTTATTTTATACATCTTTATTATTGTAGATCAGATACTGAATAAAGATATATGCTATATATATTCTAAGCTACTCGTTATGTCGAAATTTCGTAAGGCTAAAACTATTCTATGTTAATATTGATCAAAATATTTTGTCTTGGATGCAAGGAGACCAAGTCGATCCAGCAAAAGAAAGAAGCATCATCCCCAAATTTAGGCGTTAATTATAGTGTATAATTGTTGTACATATATATACAAAGTCTCATATCTTAACCTTAGTGTACATGTACATATATGCATCTCTTTAATTTAGTATAAACACTCCACATACGCATCAAAATCAATTAAAAAGAAACATTTATTTGTTTTAGATTCGTGTACTTTTTTTTTGGTAAATAGTAAATTTTATTACCAAAAGGAGCTGCAAAGCAGCAAAACAGGAATACAAAAAGCCCGTAGGCCTAAACCCAAACGCCTAAAGCCCCTAAGGGCACACAACCACCAACCAAGGACCAAGATCCAAAGGCCACCTTTTAGGAAGGATTCTAAAAAAACCTTCCTAAGTCTCCAGAATACCTACCACATTTATATTATGAGCAGTAAGCAATCTTTTTACATCTGCTCCTGATATTCCAAGAAGCAACAATCATGACCCTAGAAGGGGAGATTACCATCACCCATGATAGGATCTATGTCATCAAGCTCATTCTGCAGTAAGACATTGAAGGTGTTAGCACTAGTAACAACAGGATGTTGACAATTAATCTGCTGAGGTCTGGTTTTCCTTCCCACCACCCTCCAGTCATCTTCAAAATTAGTAGTAGTAATACCAGGAGCAGGAGTAGCAGTCCAGGTGCTAGGCTATTTTTGAACCCAAACTTTCTTCACTAGGCAGGATCAGGCACTTGCTTAGGTTTAGCTTTAGAAGCAACATCACAGTTATGCCCCACTTTATCACACTTTTTACAAAAGGGTGGGGACCATTCAAATTGAACCTTAAGCTCAACCAGCTGGACTTTCCACCAAAACAGATTTAGGAAGAGGCTTGGTAATGTCAACCTCAACCAATAACCTAGCAAAAGAAACCCCGACTATCTAGAAGTACATTCATCTGCATATAAAGGAACTCCTGGAATACTTCCAATTCTACTAAGAGTTTCAGGCCCCAGCAGTTTAAAGGAAGGCTAGGAATTCTCACCCAAAGTGGGACTGTTCTTAATATTTCATCATGAAAGTACATTCCCCTCCCAGAAGACTTCCAATTCTACTGAGACCAGCAGTTTAAAGGAAGGTTAGGAATTCTTACCTAAAGTGGGACTGTTTTTAATATTTCATCATGAAAATTGAATTTATCAGTGGCTTAACCATGGCTGGTTTACCATTTATCATGTGAGGACCAGAACATAGGACAACATTTTTATCATCAATTAAACATAGATTAATTACAAAATAGCCATTATCATGCCAAAACACTTCAAGTTTTTCAAAATTGCTCCACTGTTGAGAAATGAATCTATGAATTGCAGCAATAGTAGGATAAAATCCAACAACATATAAAACAATTGCATTAGACCACTTTTCATTGCCTACGTGAATTTCTGCGGCTTGCAATTGAGCAATTGGTTTGCCATTCTTAAGAAGGGGCAACAAAAGGGAGCTGTGCCTTTAGGTGTAAGCTTGCCCCTAAAAGGTCATACCATCCATTGTTCCCATTAACAGGAGCTTCAACCTTTTTCGGCTGTCCATTTGGCTTATTAGCACCCATACCACCATCAAAACTAGTATCGAGCTCTGAATTCAATGGAACAGTAACTTCTGGAGCTCGAGTTACTGGTGCATTGAGGTTGCTCTCCACAAATCTAAAATTAATCCGGTAGCACCAGCATCACGAGTAGGAGAACGAACTCGAACATCAGCACTACACCAGCACATTGATTTTGGGGCAATGGAACAGTAACACTAGTTAATGTTTCATTGGATTTCTTCAAATGATCAGGAAGCACCGATTGATAATGTTGCTCAAGAGTTATCAAATCCGCCCTAGTGATCATGATCATTCCAGCTGAGGGATGAACTAGATGAGGAGGAGAAACCAATTCATCAAGCTCACTGAAACCCTCCGGGATCGAAGCTGGATTTCCAAAAAAAAACCAAATTTATTTAGTTGAATCAGTCCATTATTCGAAGTAGACAATGATGCTAAGTTAGAGGTTTGAGGTACTAGAGTTGATTGCTTCTTCTTCCTTGCCATGATCGATTAAACCGAGTGAAAAAACCGCCATGGTTGAGAGAAAAGTCAAACCCCAATTAAGACACGTGTTTTATTTCCTCTACAATGACACTTTTAAGCATTATATTGTGTCTCTAAAGAGCGTCAAAATATGAAAATTAACTATTCGAGAATAAAAATAAATTATGAACCTTTCTAAAAGCGTAGAGGCAAAAAGGACAAATTTTGTATCAATTTCTTGTAGTGATCATATACATTTAATTGTGGTTTTTTTAATGAGTCTATTGCTATGCTTTTGAATCCCCCTTTTCATAGTGCTTTTGTCCATTGAATTACACTAGTGTTCCTAGTTAAGCTTCTTAATTTAACCTTTCATGGCTTTAATTTGTAGTTTTCACTTCACTTGATAAAATATAAAATAAAAAAAGTAATTCAACCAAAAAAAAAAACATTTGACTTAAGGCTTTGTTTAGTTCTAACTTATTTTTTCACATCAGAAAAAATAAGTTCAGATTAGATCATTATTTTATGTGCAATTTTTTATTGCTAAATATCTTTAATTTTGTAATGAAAAAAATATTATGAAAACTACATATAAAAAAAATACACATTATTACGAATCTAGCAAGACCCCACTTGATATATTTTTTCCTTATAGATTATCATACACTTAAGGTCAAAGTTTGGTCAAATCAGACAATCACATCAGATTAGATAAGTTAAGTTGAGATAAGCAAGAATAAGGTGAACTAAACCAACCCTAAGTTGTTTGAAAATTTAAGCATTTTCAATTCCATTTCCACGTGAAAGTATGACCCTTGCCATTATACGTGAAGCAGTGATAGTTTGGTTATTTACTATTCCTACAAGCGCCACCTTCGAAAGCCGGCTTTGGATTCACTAGGCGTGTGTCGCTAATTTGGGTGGTTCGTCGCTTCGTAAAGCTACCTCAATTTATAGCGGTTTTAATGTTAAAGTGTTTTTCTAGATCTTTTGCTCACAACTTTTAACCTTTTATTTGAAGAGGTTAGTTAATTACGAGTCCTTAAGTTTGTAGAGTTAATGTTAAAGTGTTTTTCTAGATCTTTTGCTCACAACTTTTAACCTTTTATTTGAAGAGGTTAGTTAATTACGAGTCCTTAAGTTTGTAGAGTTTATTAATTTTGGATCAGATTTAAGATAAACTAGTTTCGTAAACTAAGTAGGATGCCTGCAAGGCAAGGTTAAAACTTGTAAGACTAGGCTATTACTAGGAGGCTAAGGTTAGGGCCATAGGCGCTTGTGCGAGTCCCATTAGAAGTATTAGATGTCAAATTAGAAACTTATAAATAAGGGCTAATTTTGTAGGTTACAAGCACAATTTCAAAATAAATCAAAGAGTGGTTTACGACTAAGATCATTAAACATTTAATGTCTAGGAGTAGGCTAAGCCCGCTAAGGGTTTAATCTCATACTATAATTAATTAACGGCTAGTTGTTTAATTAAGTAGGAAATTTGAATCATAGATTCAAGAGTATATCAATTCGATTGATTCCAATGTTGATCAGATCTTAATTTCAAGAACTTGTGTTTTTCAAAAACTTCACTGAAGGAGGGATTGGATTATTCATCAAACACCATGTTATAGATCACACATTGATATTAAACCTTAAAGCTAAGTTACTCGAACTCTTCATTTCACCTTACGTACCCGTGTCGGACCCTCGAACAAGGGTATGACACTCGGACACTTCACTTTTAGTTCAAAATCATGGAATTTTTTTACAAAATAGCCGAGTGGAACGCTTGGACACGTACCCGTGTCGGACATGGGTACCCCGAGTCTAAGTAACATAGCCTTAAAGTATGATACCGTAGGAAACAACAGGATACATGGCAATGCATATCATTAGCGCCTCACATTGAACATAATTGGCAGTTTGTTATACACAAACCATTTATTTTCAGATGACACGCATATTCATCAATAATCTAAGCAGACTCTTGACTTTATTTGTGATAAGAATGCAGCAATCAAAGTTTGGAGGGATCTTGAATAACATTGTCCTAATCTTCTGAAATTCTATATCTACAAAAGAGAAGACAATTTCTTCCCTAATTGTAACATTCTTAATATTATTAACAGTCTCATCATCAAAGGTAACTTCCATTCTTATTTTATTTTTTTTACCTAACCAATCAGGATTACTTCTTCCTCAATTACTGACAAGGCTAAAATAACAAATGAAACCAAAGGAAACGCAAGCAGAACATGCTATTGATCAACAATACTCAGTACTAATAACCTTTGAGTTGCAGAAAATATTGTAAAGCTCAAAGTATAATGTTGTCAAAATCAACAAGCCATACCTCATTGGGTGTGGCAGCCAGAGTCATCCATCATCACAAAGCCGCAATGCCTTTCCAATTTCAAGATCATACAGCCGTCTTAACCCCAGATGAACAAGAAGTCTCCCAAACTTCAATACCTTCTACATTCTCCCTTCTAACAAAGAGCCTATTCCCACCTCCTTCAATCTTACTTATTATCCCCCGCTTTATGTCCTCCACCTTATCTACATAATTCCTCCTAAACACTCCCCATTCTCTCTCGCCTCCTCCTCCAACTGCTCGGTCTGCCACCCTTGACCAAGCTTCCAATCCCCCATCTCTCCCAACAAACACATTTTCCTTGTAACAATGCACCACCACACTTCCCCCAGCATTCCAATCCCTACTCAATCCTGGGTTCCGATCCTCCAAATACACCCATGAGTCAGAACCTAATTTCCTCAAATCAGCCACACCCAAGTCCCCCGTCTTCGAACCCACCTTAGCCAAAAATAGCCCTTCTGGATCAACATCAATATCCGCCATCGTATCACCCAACCTACTACTCCTAACCACCCCACCTGGCTCATTCGTCTCCCATACAATCTCCCCAGACCTAGGATCCCACACCCGGACATAACCCGAATACCCGAACGCCCCCCAATTCACCGCACTTCCCACCAGCAACCCCACTTGCGGAACCCACCTTAACCTTTTAATAGCGGTGGATTTGGCAGAGTTACCGGACTGCCTGCCAATCTCCGCCACAACTTTTAGCGTCGATTTATCGACAATAAGGACGGCATTCTCCCCATGTCTACACTCAAACGCAGCAGCAAACACCGCCATCCCCGAGTCATCGTCAATCCCCACCGAGTCAGCGATGGAAGTGACTCGAGATTTATGAACCCTTGTATCTGAATCATCCATCCAGTACAACGACCCGGCATGTTTTTCTCTAGTATACAAATGTAGACCAGAAAAAGAGTTTGATCCGACAGCCGATATCTCAGGAGAGATAGAAACGATGGAGGATATATCATCGAGATGGGTACGGACGGTGGATGAGAGAGAAAGAATTAGACCATCGTAGTACGAGATCTGTCCAGAATGAGCTAAAAGGAGAGAGTTGGCGGCAGCGGCGGAGAAGGCGGAGACGACAGCGGAGGAAGGAGGAGAGAGAGAGGAGACAAAGGATGCGTCGAAGGGGGAGAGAGGGGGAGGAGAGAGAGAGGAGACAAAGGAAGATTTGAGGCCGTAGAAGCGGGAATCGTTAAGGAGTTGATGGAGGGAGAAGTGACGGAGGGTGGTGGAGGGAAGGCGGTGAGTGCGGAGGAGAGAGAGAAGGGATGAGAAGATTTCAGGGTCGCGGTCGATGAAGCTTGGTGAGTGAGTGGAGGATAGAGAAGCGAGGAAGGAGGAAGGGGCGGCGGATTGCAAGGTTGAGACGGTGGTTTCGAAGAGTTTGCCACCGATGTTGAGCTTAATTCGCTGATTTGGGTTGGATTCAGGGAAAGAGTTAATAACATCTTTGGTGTTCATTGTGAAGTTTTAGTGGATTACGGAGAAATTTGATGAAAATTCTGATGCGGATTACGGAGAAGTAGTCGGTAATTATGGAACGAGATTTTAATCAATTACAAGTAAAGTAGTAAAGTCAAGCTCATGTATTGCATTTCCCAAAACCCAAGTGTAATTCAAGCGAACTTTCATCATATGCACCTAAAACATAATTATAATATAAAGCATTATTAATAAGAGATAGAAATAATAAATATATATATATATATATATATATATATATATATATATATATATAGTATAAATGGGGTTGGTAGGAAAGAAAAATAACAAAATATTTGTAAAAGTGGGATTAGTAGAAGAGAGAAGTTATAAAATAATGGTGGGTCCTTGCCAAAAATAGTAGTGTTGATCATATAATACGTAGTAGTTTAGAGTTAGTATCATCCGTGCAATCCATGGTTTACAAAAATATCTATTTTGAAGATAATTTAAAACAAATTTAGTCAATAAGTATTACGGAGTAGTAGACTTGTAGACACTTGATTGTGTCTCCCCAAAAATCAAACCCATAGATGAGTACCTTTCACGTCTTTGATTATCGAGTAGGTAAAGAGTTGAAGAGTCTCGTGAATTTACCTTTAGCATTGACCATTTCTAACCTTTCCCTAAATGTTTTAAACCAAATCATTTATTCCGTGTCTTTGAAAATCATTCAAACATCATACTTTCTTCACGAGATTCAAATACCTGTCGCGCCGCGATAAAGCTGTTGCACCGTGATGAGACCTGTTTTACTTTGATTTGAATTCTGACTCTTTTCTAATCGTTTCGTCTCTCTATTTTTCTATAAATAAAGGTCGTATGACCCCATTTTCATTCACCAACAATCATCATCAATATCCTCTCAAATATTCTTTCTTTCTCTCTTGATTCTTCATGTTCTTAGCCTTAGCCTAAACACATCCTTGATACTCTCCTCGATCAAACATCATACTTTCTTCACGAGATTCGAATACTCCTAGCGATCCTCGATGTTGCATTTGACCTCGACGTGAAAGGTTGATAGTTCTGAGGGTTTGGTCCCAAATCTCTATTTCAATTATTATTTGATTTACTTTGTTGATTTTATCTTTCTTGAAATTACGAACGTGTTTATTGTTTTGATAGCAAAAAGGGAGGAACATCAAAGTGAATAGATCTACTATCCTTATTCCTCGATTTTGATATAGAAATCCTGTTTAGGATATTATTTTAATTCCTAGTATCATGTTAGGATGCTGATTTTGATTCCTAGTATCATGTTTAGGGTGTTAACTAATATTTCTAATATCATGTTTCTAGTATCATATTTAGGTTAATGCTTTGATTATGATTATTATTAGTGACATGTTAGGGTTTGTTATTAATTCGTTTAGTATCATGCCTAAGGTCTTACTAATAATATTTTTTTAATGGTGTGGTTATGATGATGATTGTTATTTCGATTATATGTTGCTTGATTATTCACGATTGATTGTTATTGCTTGATCATGCCCTTCTTACATGTTTAGGGGGAATTTGTATTTGAAATCACGCCTAATAAGATAATTAATAATTTTATTTAGGGTAATGTGATTTTAATTCAAGTGATCACCAATAATAGATTTAACTGTGCATAATAATCAACCAACGTAGGTCAAATATGCTTAAGATTAATTTGATGTATGTATGTTGATCGAAAACCGCACATGAATATCATAAGAATTAAGTAGAGGCCGATTTAGGCAGGTTCAATCTCTTTTAGGTTGGATTCGTACCATCATCGTCGAATATACAGTCATGGTTCCGGACTACTATGGTGTTAGCGATCTCTGAGATCGTGAATGGGGTGTAATATTCGCACCCGTGAACGGTTTACAAGTTCCCAAAACTTGTTGGCGACTCTTCTATTTCTAGCTTCCTTCCCTTGGAGCGCTGCCATGCCTAAAAGTATGAACACAATGAGGCTCAAAAGGTTGAGTTTGAAAAATTCCCTACAGTTTTTGGCGACTCCACTGGGGAAGGAATTCTAATTTAATTCCTAGATTTTATTTTTGCAATCGATTTAGAATGAGTGGATGAGACTTGAAAGATTCTAGATATTCATTGTGTGTAATTTTGATTAACATTGTGGCATAATCATAACAAGGTTCGCATTGGAAAGACCATCTGTAATGCGTCAAAAACATAGGAATTTTACATGTAGGAAAAGCCGGAAATATTTTTCACAACTAAAATCGAATAAACGCTACGAAAAATTGGAAAAAACATCGAATTACAGAATTGCCGCGACGCGCTAGAACTATCGCGAGACGACAGAAACTATCGCCAAACGACAGCTCTATCGCGGCGCGATAAAGTTGTCGCTGCGCGATAGACCCTATTTTCACGCGCCGAGTTCTCGCGACATTGCGCTAGTTTTCCGCTTTCGTGTTTTGACTAATTCTAGTACTGCTTTGCCGATTTTACTTCCTGATTGAGTTTTTTCGACTTTTCTAAACCCATATGTGTTCTACATATGGTTTTAGCCATTGAGAATTTTACGTTCCATGCACCCTAATGAACGCTCCATGCAACAATGGGTGTATTCGAGATTGTGAATTCACCAAACCATGGAAGCAAGTTTAACTTGCGGGTTTCCATCCATCATGCCAACCCTTCTAAGGTAAGGCTTCCATTCGATGCATCTGGCCTCAATAACCATGGACCCTCTTGGACACCATAATCCTTGACCTTAGATAACTAGAGCCATGGTTAGGTTGCAAACTCATTGCATCATGTTGTGAATACTTGACTACTTGTGCATATCCTTACTTGTGATTAAACTAACCCTTTGTGTTGATTTGTTTCTTGTAAATAAAATCTAACAAACTAACCAAAGACTAAAAAAGACTTTGCTCATTAAAATGGTTATTTAATTTGAACCTAAAAAATCTAAACGACTGGACTTAGCCGTCTATAGGTTTACACCTTCAAAAGAATCAACAAAAACAGATTAGATTAGCGTTCCATTAGAGACGCGAAAATCTGGTCTGTGCCGCGAAACGTCAGCTCCATCGCGCCGCGATGGAACCAGCTTTTCGCGACAATTCCATCGCCACGCGATGGTTCGGTTCGTTCTTTCCGAGTCTTCGTGTCGAGTTTAATTCCCATAATTAACCGGTTTAATGAATATACGAGGTCCTAATTTGGTTTTTGAGTCTAATAAAAAATTTAGTCCCATGGTCATCACACGTCTTGAACATATCACTTTCACTCACGAGTCATTGCACAAACTTTTGTACATGTCTTTTCACCATGACCATGTCTAAGGTCTTGTGTGCATTTTTCCGTCATTTTTTTAGGGGGTTAAGTCGGATATTATCAGCCTAACATGAACCATGTTGTTTTAAAACCTGATTTGATCGCCATACTTGATTCCCAAAATATGCACCCATTTTTGCTTTTTCAACCTTATAAAAGTACGAGTCAAATCATTAAAAGAGTCAATGGTTTAATTTTACAGCGTTTGGTCAAGGAGAGAAGGACGTTTAATAAAAGACACCACCTTCATACAAGTACTCCTCTTTCATAGACCGGTTCGAAAAAGAAGAAAGATAAGAATGGTAGCCAGTCAAGAAGATTTTGATAAACTCCAAGAAACTGTGAATGGCCTTGCTGAAATGCTCAAGGGGCTTAGCACTCGAATGGAAAGGGCTGAGGACCCTACCAAGCAAGTACCAACAGAGACGATCAAGCGCATCGAAGACAGTCTATGTCAAATATCCAATGATTACAAGTACCTTGGCATAAGCATTAAGGGGGTCTTAGTGGACAAAGATCTTCATCCGCAGAAGTTCTCTGCCAATGACATCCATAAGTTCAAACCTACTGACAACCCTTACTTTCATTTGAGGGATTTTGTGACAATCACGGAGATCAAGGGGATTGAGAAGAAGGTTTTCCCCTCGCTCTTCTCTCTCTCCCTAGAAATAGTATGCCAACAATGGTTCTTCTCTATGGGTGTCGAGAAAATTGTTACTTGGGAGACTATTACGCATGTTTTCATTGATAGATACAAATGTAATATTTAAGTAGAAATCGATCATAGGGAGCTTGAAATTCTCAAGTAAAAAGAGAATGAAGGTTTTACTACATTTTATAATAGATGGAAGGAAACTTTCGCTAGAATGATTGAAGTTCCGAGTGAAAAGGATTTCGTAAGAATGTTCATTAAGAATCTCCAAGAAAAATACCAAAAACACTTGAAAATATCAATGCAACTTGAATACCTTCAAAGATGTTTATATTATAGGCATTGAAATTGAAGATGACCTTGTGAAACAGAAAGCTGCTAACAATAGTAACAACGGTGGCTAGAAAGGAAAGAAGAACGACAGTCCTTCTTCTTCCAAGAACACCCACTCTAGTAACAATGTTAGTACCTTTAATCTTAATGGTGTCCTAGCCATGATAAAGGGACAAGAAGGCAACTAAGGAAAGAGTTCACCCCTATTGGGATGAGCTATGACACCGTCGTTGATCGACTCCATGCCAAAGGACTTATTACTCCCATTGGACCAATGCAAGATCCTCCACCTAAATGGAGAACATCCAATTGGAATCCAAATGCACATTGTAAATACCATCAAGGTAGGGTCCACTCTACTGAAAGTTGTTGGAAGTTAAAAGAAGCTATTCAATACTTGATTGACAACAACAAACTTCCAGTGCCTCCTGCTAGTAAGAAGCCAAGCATCAATAATTCTCCCCTTTCTGATTCCTTGGCAATTTCTGATGATCAAGAACCATTAGATCCATCACTCCTTATTAAGTCGATTAAAAGTATTTCAATGGAAGAGATTCATGACGTTGAAGAAGAAGAGGAAATTTTCTTCGACACCATGACTGATTTCCAATATTAGACTACCAATAAGGACATTGATAGTCCCTCCCAAAATTCCATTAATGTGGATTTGAATAACCTTTGTTACGCTCTTCAAGAATTAAGCCTTGAACTTCAAGTCTTTTGTAGGAAGGTAAACAAGCTGGAAAGCAAGCCTATCCTTAAAAGAAAGTGTGACATTCTTCCTCTCATAAGCCAAACATCGTTGGAAGAAAGCCATTTATCTTCAACGCTATTGAGCCACAAGAAAAAAGTAACAA